GTTAAGCAACTAAGAAATAATTAGTTAATTGAGGGTATTGTGACACCATGAAGTGCTGCATTGCCTTCACGATTAAATACTAAAATGTTTGTCAACTCAATATAATTGTAAACAGTTATTTCGTATTGTACGAGATTCCGGTGCTTCAAACCATGACGTATCCGACCTTAGCTCTCAGCTACTTAGGTTCGGTTGGATCACTACAAACTTGTCTGCCTTATGCTTGATTCAATCTACTGCATCGTATCCATAGTTTTTTCTTAAATGTAACTTATCTTTTGCACTGATAAAGAGTGAGATTTTTGTATTTTCATGGTGTTTCATAATATATGCGCAGGACTTCAGTGTGATAACTTGTCCAAAAATTTGAAAAAAAAAGTTTCCATCAACTTACACTCTAAAATGCACCATTTTCGAGATACTGAAATTTAATAAAAAAAATCGTTTTTTGCGAATATTTCCGGAACCGTTTATCGTACAGAAAACAGCGTTTGTAAGCATTTTCAATTCATAATAAGCTGAGTCTTGTGCGAGAAAAAATATTTTTGAAGTCATAATTGGTGAAGATTTTGAAGGGGTAGTGGTTGCTTTTTTTCTCCCCAACTTCTACGCCACTGGAAAAAGTAAGGTTTTGAGATGCCCATTTGAACCGTCAATGTTTTCTACATAAACAAGGTACTGTCATGGAGATATTCGCAAAAAAACGAATTTTTTTATTAAATTTCAACACCCTGTATCTCAAAAATGGTGCATTTTAGAGGATAAGTTGATGGAAACTTTCTTTCAAATTTTTGGACAAGCTATCACATCCTAAAGTCCTGCGCATGTATTATGAAACTGTATAGTATGATGAAAATGCCAATAGTAAAGTGTTTGATTGATTTATTTATTAGTTGATTTATTTCAGTTTGAGGGAGGAGTTTTAACCTTCTGAATGAGAAAGGAAACATTTCGAGAAACGTAAGCGTATTCAAAGGTGGACGACGCGATTAGGCTATTAAGAATGTTTTTTTTTGTGGATGTTGCGAAAATCTGCGGTACTGAAAATGATTTGAAAGGACCTTGCTCCTTATTATCAGTATCATCTGGCCAAGGTAGAGACTAAGTCGTTAGAAGATCTTTAACGTGTTGTCAGGCATTGTGTAATCTAATCATCGTCTTTCTTCGAATTTCAAAGTGATGGAAAATAACTTATCTTTTGTAGAGATTGGATCTTCTTTACCAGTGATTGCGCCATCCATAGATTGTCAAACGATTTCGGCATCCAGATGTAAGGTACTTCGAATTTGTTTTTTTTTAAAAAGCTTGCTTACGATTTTACGAAATTCAATAATACACGAATTTCAACAACAACCCAAAGCAACAAATCTACTTGAGTGATCACCACAACACAAGAAGCACAAAAGAAAAGTTTTTTTGGAAATCTTCGCGCAGTGTTCAATAAAACAAAATCTTGATGCTAAGTGGAGAAAGCCAAGTAGGAAGGCTAACACCATCAGACAGTTTAAAGTTTATATGTTAAAAGGTGCTTCACCAGGTTCTATATTGCCAACCTTAGATTGATCCAACGAAGTAACATTTTAGCGATAAAAATCATCACCATCAAGTAGCCCTTTGAATTCCCTGTTGGGTATAGGCAATCGGTTCAGTTCGATGCTGTCTGAATCCAATTGTTGGTTATAATCGGCAGCACAAACTGATGGAAAATCCTTTCTTTTCAAATATATGGGAATATCGATCTTAGAAATGTCTATAAGTTTCCCGTAGACAGCCCATACAAGAGTGAAACTTCTGATTACTTCCCTTGTTTGAAAAGTTTCTCCTAAAATTACTGCCAACAAATGTTGGATCAACAGACTGTTAATTTTTTAAGTTTTTCAGTGAATTTCCAAGTGTTCAATTTGGATTAGTTCTGTATTTTTTTATAATTTTTGTACTCTATTAAACTATATTCTGCCATACCGTATAATATACAATATCTGTACTGTATAATTCAATTTTCAAAACTTCCTATTCGTAAAATTATGAAAATGTTTTCTAGTGCTTAAAGCATAAACTGGGTACAGTACTAGACCAAAATAGTTCCCCTAATAAAGTACTGTCACACACTAATTATCGTAGTATACATTGACAAAAGGCGTTTTTACAGCAAATTCAGTAGCAAACTTCATACCAGTTGATTTGGGTTATCGGAGCAACTGCCAAAATTGACATAACCATTCTGCATAACAATTTTAAGTTTCACAGTTTCAACCACAAGATGTAAGATGATTTTTTTACAATCGTTACTTAAGTTGACGAAGTGTTACAAGCAAATTAAGAATATTATTTGAGACTGAGCATTGGAACAATGCATCAACCTAAGTTGTCGTTGGCAATTACAGAGCATCATTTTGATGCAAGAGAATTTATCATAATTGTTATGAAATGTGTAATATGACACATTGCTTAGTTAAAAAGTTTCTAAATTAAAATTAAATCAATTTTATCTGCGACTGCTTGGATAAGTCGTCATTACCGCACTCATTTGTGGTGATTTGAGTTACGTAATGAAGTTCATTACCGCACTGGTCATTACGTAACGCATTTTTAGCCTAATCAGAACAGACTTAATTTATTGAAATGAGAAACAATACAACAGAAAAAGTGCTATCTACTTACAGAGAAACAATACTATTTATTATAAACATTAATTGTTATATTTTTACATTTCGAAACACTTATTCCAGATGAGTAAACATGTTGTTGAAACTAGCAATTCAAAATTGTCAACAATAATTTCAAAATATTTTTATAAATGTCAAATAGACTTTTTTAAAGNTCCCTTCCAGAGTGTCTGTTGTTGTCTATCCTGAAGATATGAAGCAATAAGTTTATTTCCATTTTCATTTATGCCGTATTTTTCTATTTTTTTCAGAAGAACTACTGAAAGTACTGTCACGACAGACATTACCGAATATCACATAACAACACATTTATTATCGTAGTATACGTTGACAAAAGACGTTTTTACAGCAAATTCAGTAGCAAACTTAATATCAGTTGATTTGGGTTATCGGAGTAACTGCCAAAATTGACATAACCATTCTGCATAACAATTTCAAGTTTCACAGTTTCAATCACAAGATGTAAGATGATTTTTTTGCAATCGTTACTTAAGTTGACGAAGTGTTAGAACCAAATTAAGAATATTATTTGAGACTGAGCATTGGAACAATGCATCAACCTAAGTTGTCGTTGGCAATTACAGAGTGTCATTTTGATGCACGAAAATTTATCATAATTGTTATGAAATGTGTAATATCGTAATATGACACATTGCTTAGTTAAAAAGTTTCTAAATTAAAATTAAATCAATTTTAACGATATTAATTTCAATTTATCATGAATTACATACTAATAATAACTAATTGCGAGAAAATTATTGAGGTAAGATATTTGACCTCATCCATTTGCCTTTATTTTAAATTACAAAGATTGCAGACCTATTTTTACACTGATTATAAAATCAATTTTACGCGCACAGATTAAATACGAAGGCTAATAAGAAATTCGATATAAAACTAAAAATTGATTAGCGACCTTTCTACCCACTTTCTTTCTTTAAATCAATTTTAAATAATAAGCAAATGGAAATAAACAAATTTAAATTTTGAAACAAAAAAATTCGAGTATAAAAATTTTTCCCCCATTTTTATATAACGAAAATATCCCATCGTTGGATCTCCCGAAGGATAGTAGCTATCGTTACCTCGCAAATACGCCTCCATAAATTGCGAATACGGATATTCGAAGATCGTCTTTTTTATCTCCGCCGGGCAGAAGTAATACCCGGATGCATAATTCATGCAGCGGCGGCGATCCGAAGGGGACGATCTGCGATGCTGCCACCGGGTCGGTCAGTGATGGTGGTGGAGTTCGCGGTTTCTAACCTCACACACTCCTCCTCAAAAATCAAACCTAACGGCCTAATTCGCATTCCAAACGCCACCCCCGCTATGATGTGGCAACCGCTTTTATTGCTTGATTCGGAACGTAACATTATGCGCGAATGTGCCACGAGTACATGTTGCTTTTTAGTATAGAAAGAAAGAAAGAAAAAAAATCCGCTCGCATCAAAGATTTTTATTTTAACGATTATTCCTCTTTGTTTGGGAGAAACATTTTTTTAGGAATTATCAAATTTAATGATTTCTGTCTGTAAAGTTTAATGTCGTTTCATAAGGGTTGTTTAAAAAAAAGAGAGGGTGTTTCGAGTTTTCGAATTTTGTGGAGGAGAAAATCATCGGAGTCCTCGTCTTCGAGGCGGAAGGTGTACTAAAGGCACGTTAAAGGGGTTTTCGCGGCAGGATTACCACCTCGGCAACCATTGGTCCGGTCGTGCTTACTGTTCGCCTCCGACTTGGTTTATTCTTATAGAATCACAGATGTTCTATAAAAATCTAGACGGGGGCCGGATTTGTTTCCAACGGAAGCGACGGTGGCGGCGACGTCATAAAACCGAACGGCTTTGTTACTCCGGGATGATATCCGGTCGATGTTTGACGACACGAATCGGTTTTAAACACGAAAATTTCACAAACAAAAAGGATTTATTCAAAAAAGAATTTATCTTGGAATATTTCATCTTCTGATATAATTTTTATCTTGCTGAAGTAGTTGTAGTTAAAGATAAATTTGTTTGTTCTCCAACCAATCAATTTGAATTCGAGGTCTCAAGGGTGAAGGATAGTTGCCTCGAGGGGTCAAAGACGGTCTCTATGAGTTTCCAATTCCGCGGGGATATCCCTGTGTCCATGTCCGTGACTGGTCTGGGCCCGTTTTTCTTGGCAACCTCCGGGAGTACTCCAGGCGACCCGAGTCCCATTTCGACCCCGTCCAAAGGCCTTCCAACGGAAATTCAATTTCGACATCAACTAATCCGGGACCAAATCCGCTTTGAATATTTTATCAATGACCAAAGGAGAATATTTAAAAGAAATCGCAAACTACGATTTATTTTAAACAATTTATTTTCTTTCAAGTAAAACATAATTATCGTATGGATTTAAAATTAATTTAGAATTATCCAATTTTAAAGTCGATGAAAACTTCTCTTCAATACTGGTGGCGATGACATCAAAAATAATAATCCCTTGATAACCACAAGTTACTAAATCAATTTCGAACGGATTCGATGTAACCCCTAAATGGCACACGAACACAACCGATTTTTCCCCAGGATATTTCCTAATAACTAAAATCCCATCTTTATTAATCGAGTGTATTTCCCAAGAACCATCACGAAGCGCCTTTGAACTCTGTCTAAGTCGCAACAGTGCCTTATAATTTTGATAAACCGAAGCTTTTGTTACTTTCTCCTTCACCAAATTATTCTCTTTATATTTCTTACTAACCGGCAACCAAGGTTCCACACCGCTTTCCGTAAATCCGGCATTATTAGAATCATCCCAATGAAAAGGAGTTCTTTCAAAATCTCTACTAACTCTGTCAAAATTTTTAGGACCCGCTGCTAAACCTCTAGGTTCTTTCCCTTGTTCAAAGGTTACCTCACCATTTTCCATACCGATTTCCTCCCCGTTATAGGTAACCATAACTCCCGGAAGGACTGAAATTAACATATTCATCATATTTGCTTTTACTCGACTTTTTAATTTCGTTGAAACACGATGTTGGTCATGAGTACCTAACTAAAAATGAAAATATTAATGCAAATAACGTTTCTGTATTTATTATTACCACCCAATTCGGCATTGCACCAACTGGCATATAAGCAAACCATTCATGGATTACAAAAACGATATCACGAGCGCTTGTATTAGCTTTTATTTCCATTAATTCGAAATTAAACGAAATATGTACTCCGTTTAGTTTATCTCCTTCGCCATAATATCTCATAACTTCTTTCATGCTTGTGTACGATTCAGTCATAAGAATTCTAAATAAAAATAGCTTTTTAATTAATTAATTAATTGAGAATATAAAAAATGTTCACCGAGGTTCGCCACCATGAACAGCGGTGAAATCATCGCAAAGTTTCCTCCATTGATAAACCATGTTGTAAGTTTCATCTTGATCAGCGCTGTAAATGTGATCGTAATAATCGTGATAATTTGGGACGTCCGTTAATCCGTCATTTGCAAGAGGTTCGTCTTTGAATTGTTCGAAAAGATAACGAATTGCGTCGATTCGGAAACCAGATACTCCTTTTTCAAGCCAAAATATTAAAATATCCTAAAAAAATAATATTGCAGTGTTCTTTGAGTTGGAAATGAAAAGTTCATCAAGTAAAGACATCATGCCCTGATTGTTTGTGTGAAGGCAAAAACTACTGTATCTGATTTTAAGCAAGTTGTTAACTCATTAATCAATAATCTAGTTAAACTTAGAATTGTCTGAATTGATGTTATAATGAACCACGTTTTCACTGTTGAACGTTGCGAATAATTTAATCCTTCTGTTAAATTGAACACAGGTAAATTCTTTCCAGGTGCAAGAGAAAGAGTTTTAGTAAATTCTGTGATACAGACAAAATATCAATTTCAAAAACAGATTTCATGATTTTGTGACAACAGCAGAATATAACATTTTTCTTCAAAGACTGCTGATTAAAATAGATGTGCAGTTTTCCACAAGACAGTGATCGTAAAGCTAATGAAGATCTTGATTAGAAACAGATGATGACTAAAAATCTTCGAAGACTAATACCGAAGGTGGAAAAGTAAAATATAAACACTACTGAAGTATGCTTAACTCCATTACTAAAAACAAAGCTGTTACAAGTACAAAGCAAAAGTACTCCCAGTAACCAGTACAAGTAGCGCTATAAATTATTTTTACTCCAAGTAATAAGTAACAAGTATTTTTAAAAAGTACTCGGAGTAATAAGTAATTTTACTTGAAACTAAAATTTCAAATACCCAGTACAAAGTAATTACTCGTTTAAGTATTCCAATTATTTTAGTTATTTAGAATAAATAAATATTTATTTAGAGTACATACTCTAAAAAGCTTAAAACTACTTCCAGTAGGTCGATTCAGATGCAGCGGTAGATTCAGATGCTTGATTATCAGAGATTGTTTAATTTTTTCTAGCTTTATGTATAATGATACAATACTGGGAAGAAGGAATCCGTAATAGGTATGTTGATCTCCTTGAAGAAAATCAAGGGTTTCTGCTATTGATTTCATTATTTTTATTGTACTCCTCCAAAAACAAAATATCATTCTGAGTAATGTCGAAATTAATAGTTTGAACTCTGTAAGTTCATCCAGTTTTTCTTTGCACAATAAAATTTGTTTTATGGCATCATAGAAAGAGTTTCGCTCGGTTACTTATTGTATGACCCAAAAGTTTATGAATTATTTCAGCAGATAATTTGGTCTTCTAGCCTTTTGTACAACTTCGAACAACACTAGCAAATTGTAAGGCAACAAGATAATGCTACAGATTTTCTTTGTAGATTGTCGGTTATCCAATGATATGTTACTCCAATGAAACTTCTCTTCTTACAAGACCATATATCTGCTGATATACAGACAAAAGTGCATTTTGACAAATCAAGTCTGTGATCACCTGACCGCAACTATCAAAACTTATTGAAACATTAAAAATACAAACTGCGAATTATTTTGCATAATTTAAATTTTGAAATAGTAAAGAGATGGAATGGGAATTAGGAATGAATCGAATACTATGTAGTGAATACTAGTATACTAGTTAAGTATATAACTAGTATACGTATGATGATAAATGTTAGGTATAAGAAAACTTTAAAAACTTGTTATTTTACTTACTATTGAAAGTACTGCAAGTAGATAAACTACTTGGAGTAAATAAATAGTTCTTCAAGTACTTCTTATGTCAAACAAGTAACAAGTATCCAGTACATCTTAAGCTAAATACTGAAAGTACAAGTATTAAGTACCTACAATTTGAAAGTACTGGCAGTAAACTACTTAAAGTAAAAAAGTACTGAATACTTTACTTGCAGAACATTTTACTACAACTACCTCAACTCTCACTAGAAACCTGCTTTTGTAGTGACATCTGCAAACTACGCCGTGTCATGAATAAGTGTTGAGGGTGGGCAATTGTGGGCATCCTGCCTCTTGATCTGGAACTCTATTGATAGGAACAGAATAGCCAAACCTGAAGAAAGCTAATAGCCCAGATAGCAAAAGATATGGAAAAAATATATGGGATGGGCAAAAACGGGCATACTAAATATGAAGCGTGGGCAACGAGTAGATAAGATGAGGTGGATTCCTTTACGATGTAAGGTGGTCACGTCGTTTATAGTTGTATACTGATAGTTTCAAAACAACTCGTAGTTGAATCTTTGAGAGAATGCAAGAGATGGCCAAGAAAAGAAAGATCAGAAATACATTTCTATCCCCAAGCCTAATATTATCAAACAATACAATGACTCTATGGGTGGCATACATCGTATGATAAATTACGACAGAATCAACAGCAAATCTAGGAAGTGGACTTTAAAAACAATTTTGCATTTCTTTGATCTGTCATTAGTTAATGCCTGAACCTTCTACCGATAAGATAGAAACAAATTAAGAGATACTAGTAAAAATATCTTAGATGATCTACAGTTTTAGGTTAAAATCGCTTCAAAAATAGTTGGTAATTTTGAATATAATCCTTTTCTTCTCAAAACAAGAAGTCTTTGTATGTGCCATCTCCACATCTTTTCAAAAAAGAAAGAAGAATATACATTTACCAGCAGTATTAGGAAACCTCAAAAATTCTGTTTACTACCAAATAGATGGTTGTTCAAAAAAAACTAAGTTTAATTGTACAAACTACGATATTTTTATGCGTAACTTCAGAACGGATTTGTTTCTCGGAGTTACATGTCAAATATAATGTAAAATAATTTAAAAGTAAGGTTTCTTAGTTTATTTCAATAAAATTTTTTTTGCGTATAGTTGTTTTCTTAAAGAATCCTTTCAACCAAGTCCTAATGTCCAATAAAATGGCCATAATTCTTTTATAGGTATTTTCCATAACCTTGAACCCGCTTTTGATGCCCAATTTATCATATCTAGCACCACTCAGATTGGGGTTTGAAAAGGATACATAGGCTAGTGTTTTAGAGCCTTCAGCCACTTCTCCCGTAATAGCTTCCAGTTGTTTATATTTAGCCCGCCGCCTTCACTTAGTCCTTTCGATTGTCCTCCTTGTTTTCTTCGATTTGGTAGTTTCCAGTTTATCATTTTCTCCGGCCATCTTGCATTCGTCATCCGTTGGATTTGTCCGAACCATCGTAGCCTCCTTACTTCTATGGGTTCCAGTATGCTAATCTGGAATCTGAAATCGACGAATCGTTGTTTTTTTTTTGACAACACCTCCACAAGTAGTCCATTTCAGCGCCGTTTGTTACATCATTATTGTCGCCAGTATTTGATATTTTAATTTCAAGATACTTATAGGATTTGGTATTTTTAATATTAATCCTCAAGTCGTTTCCATTTCCTTCTATGACCAAATATTCGATTTTATTGTGATTTATTGAAAGCCCCCATCTGTTATACTCCCCATACAATTTTACAAGCATATATTCTGCGTCCATTTCGTCTTCTGTTAATATAACTTGGTCGTCCGCAAAATACAAGATATACAGTTTGGCGTCGTCTAGTTAGATCCTCACATTTTGACACTTTTCCCGCCGCTTCGTTAGGACTTGTTGGACATACATAAACATCTTGAATAACGTAGAGGTGTAACTGCATCCTTCTTTGAGGCCTTTATTATGTCTTCAGATATTTTGTTTTGACCTGCATCTATATAGATATCACTTATTACTTGTTTTTTCCTAAGGCCACGCTCTGCTATGTCTTCAAATTCTTTTTCAATTCTCTGCTTACTAATCTTCCCATATATTATAAACATTGAATTTGTGCCGCTGATTCCTCGGTAGTTAGAGCAGTTCCTCTTGTCATCTTTTCTATGAATGTTGCTAATGTACGAAGTGGTCCACTACCTTGGTATATTGTGTTCCTTAAGAAAGGTTTTTCATTCCTTTCGCAGCTCTTTTTACTTCTCCTATTGTAATCCTATCATCTTCTTCGAGTATATCCGAGCATCTCCTTGTCATATTCACTCTCTTTCTTAGAGGGCTTTGAAGTGTGGTACCATATTAATTACTTCAATGCTTCCCTTATTTCTTTATTTCCCTGGTTGCCATTGTATACTGTTTCCAATTTTCTGGATTCTTAATGGATAGCCACTTTTGGTATAGTAGTTTCTTCTCCTGCATTTTTTCTTCGGGTTTCTGGTCCCACCACATTGGGAAGTTACAAAATACTTTCGTATACTCTTGGATTCAAAACAAAACCAGTTAAAGCTTTAATGAGATATTCACCGAACTCGAACTTTTCCTGGGATTATTAGAACTAAACACATCGACATCTATTCGCCTAATTGACCACGCACATTGAAATTGTATTCCGTTTCATACTTAGAGCAAAATAACAACTCGGCTGTTATATTTCTTTTACTACTTTTCCATACAATATTTATATTTTAAATTATTATTAATAGTTTTATATTGTTTTTTGCATCAAATAAAAAGAAAACTAAATTACCTTCATTTCTTGTACAACATCAGGATTTTCAAAATTTAAATCTGGTTGTTCTTTTGCAAACTGATGAAGATAAAATTGACACCTCTCTGGATGATAAGTCCAACAGGCTCCATCAAAAACGCTATTCTATGACGCAATAAAAAATTATTTAACCACTAAATACAAAAATAAACATGATCTAACCCAATTTGTAGGTGGTTCCATTCCGTCTTCACCTCTCCCATCTTTCCAAACGTAATAATCGGCATATTTTCCTTCCTTCTTAATTGATTTTTGGAACCACTCATGTTGATCACTTGAATGATTCGGAACTAAATCCATTAGTACCCTCAATCCTTTCGCCTTTGCGTTAGCAACTAATTCCTCAAAATCGTCCATTGTTCCATAAACGGGATCAATTCCTCGATAATCACTTATATCATAACCTCCATCAATTTGAGGTGATGGATAAATTGGTGTTAACCAAATGGCATCAATACCCAGTTCTTGAAAATGGTCCAATTTGCTGATGATACCTTGTAAATCTCCATTTCCATCACCATTGGAATCTTTGAAAGTTCTTGGGTAGATTTGGTAAATAACGGCATGATGCCACCATTCGGTTGCGTTGAAGGATTGTTGGCCAAAAACGTGGTAGTCGTCTAATTATAATAGGGGAAAAAGTAGGTGAAGGCCAAGTTTATATATTAAGTTTTCAAAGCAGTACGTTATCAAGTAATATTTGAAAAATATGCATTTTTATTGAAGTCACAAAATTTTACTTATTTATTATAATAAACATTTTTACTTACGTGTTCTTTCAACAAACTTTTTTAACATTTCTTTCCAACTGTCAAGATACCATTCTTTAAATTTAAAAATTCTTTAATAATATGTGCATGTTTATAAAGAAAAGTCAATTGAAAGGTTGTATGTGTTACAATGATAATAGTAAATAGCAATAATGATTTTACTTTGCGTAAAATAATGCGCACGCGCACCTAATTATAAAATTTACAGTACACATTTAAGTATCACTAGATGGAGCGACCATTGGCTTTAAATATGAATTATTTTGCTTCTTTAGATATGAAAGTGGTTTTTAAGCCACCTACACATAAATGCAGGTTAGAGAGATTTTTAAACAATCACAACAAAATTAAAATTCATAGTTTAAGCATTTTATTTTCTTATCAGGAACAAATTGATATTTTAAATTCTTTCAAGAAGTACATAATCTTCGTTTGGATTCAAAGTTATCTTAGAATTGTTCAATTCTAAAGTCGATGAAAATTTATCCTCAACACTGGTAGCGATGACATCAAAAACTTGATTTGTCGGTTGAAAACCATAAGCTAATAAATCAATTTCGAAAGGTTTTGTTGTAACCCCTAAATGACAAACGAACACAACCGATTTTTCCCCAGGATATTTCCTAATCACCAAAAGTCCATCTTTATTAATCGAATAAATTTCCCATGTCCCTTCACGAAGCGCTCTCGAAGTATTTCTAAGTTCCAAAAGAGCTTTGTAGTTTTGGTAAACTGAAGCTTTTGTTACTTTTTCCTTCGCCAAGTTAGTTTCCTTGTATTTTTTGCTAACTGGTAACCAAGGTTCTACGCCACTTTCAGTAAATCCAGCGTTATCTGAGTCATCCCAATGATAAGGAGTTCTTTCAAAATCTCTGCTGATAGCATCAAAACCTTGAGGGCCAGCTGCCAAACCTGAGGGATCTTTTCCTTGTTCGAAAGTTACTTCACCATTTTCCATACCGATTTCTTCGCCGTTATAAGTTACCATAACCCCTGGAAGGACTGATGTTAACATATTCATCATATTTGCTTTCAATCGACTTCCTATTCTTGTTGAAATACGATGTTGATCATGATTTCCAAGCTGGAAATGAAAACATTAATGGAAATAAAGCTTTTATGGGTAATTTATAAATTTATTTATTATTACCACCCAATTAGGTGTTGCACCAACTGGCATATAAGCAAACCACGTATGGACTAATAAAACAATATCACGAGCATCTGTTTCTACATTTAATCCGATCAAATCGAAATTAAACGGAAATTGAGCTCCATCCAATGCATCATTTTCACCGTAATATCTCATAACTTCTTTTACATTAGTGTAAGCTTCAGTCATAAGAATCCTAAAAATTTTTTTGTAATTAAAATAAAATGGTTAAAAGAGATAAGCTTACCTAGGTTCTCCACCATTAACAGCTGTAAAATCATCACAAAGTTTCCTCCATTGGTATACCATATCGTAAGTTCCATCTTGGTCGGCGCTATAAATGTGTTCGTAATAACCATGTGAATTTGGAGGATCTCCGTTATTTGAAAGAGGTTCGTCTTTATATTCTTCAAAAAGATGACGAATTGCGTCTACTCGGAAACCAGAAATTCCTTTTTCAAGCCAAAATGATATGATATCCTAAACGAAATAAATCGTATTATCCAAGTTTTATATACAGGAAAATAAGAATTAAAATTTCTGTGAATAAGCTAGTAGTTACAAAAATTTTTATTCGTATGATAAGGTTGTATACGAAGGATTGTTAATGTTCATAAAAACAACTGGATTAGAAAAAATGTTAATAAATTACGCATTACAATATCGGCCAAGGACGAAAAAATTGATTGTCAATGAAGAATTAAGTTACACATAACATTTGTGGGAAATCCGATGTTAAATTAATTAAATATGAAAGGACTTTAATGTTTAGTATTTTTCTTCTTCTGATTCAATATTTTTGATCAGTAAAATCTCCAACATCTCACTATGCAGTTATAAATCACCGTGACAGTTAGATCTAAATGGATTCACTATTCCAATAATTGAGAAGTTGACTAATTTGTTAGTGCATTTTTCGCTCTATAATCATTAATCGATAATCGATTGTTCATTTCATCCAAATTTACAAACTTAAGTTCATTTCCAAATCTACACATGTTAGATATAAATGTCATCCAATGTTGTGTTTCTCTCCTCAATGAGTTTAGCTGTGTGTCCATCCCTAGTTATCCCTAGCTGATAGAATTACAATCTAAACTATCGTGAAAACAAAAACACCTCCTTAACATAAATGGAGTAGATACTCTGTTCATAAGTAACAGAACATTGAACAGTGAAAAAAAAAACATTTTGAAACTGCACAAAAGAAACATGGTCCATTCACCAAAGAAATGGGAGCAGTAATTGCCTTAGCGATTACCTACCAAAGGGGAAAGTATGAGTGAGAAGAGATGTTTTGAGTGGTTGATATGAAAATATTATTTACAACGATATAAGATCTACGAATTGAGCTAGTTGAAGAAAAGGTGACTGAAGAGGCTGTCGTTCTTAAAACTCACTTTCAAAGCAACCTCCAAGATAGAGTCATTGCTGCCATCAGCAGCTGCAGCACAACAACAATGTTTCAGGATGTATCATCAGGTTCAAGAATCAGTCAGGAACTAAATAATTGCCACATAAGTTGGCGATAAACCAATTCTTTTTCAGCACACCTTCAAAATAGCTGGAAACCAGCATTAAAAATAACTGCACGTTTGTGCCCTCACAACACAAGGAATGTATTTGCTGAAACGGTGGGAGATCACGTGGACCTAGAAGACTAGCTGAGGTTGGATATCAACTTAAATAATCCTAATCTTCTAGGATTTTATGTCGAGAAAACCCAGCACATTTCGAGTACTCTGGACAACTGACGGCGATATACAGGGTATTTGCGGTCTTGTATTTTTATTTTCAAGGGGTGCTTAAACACCTTAAAAGAAGGTTATTATTGTAAAAATGTCTTAACAAAGATTGCATAATAAGAGAAATTTTACTGTCAAAAGTTTTAAATAATTAATTTGATTCAATAAACATAAACCCATTGCTATCTATATCTTAACTGACGATAACAAAAACATCTTTTCTGTTGTTACTGCACTGTTGGTTTGATATACATTTTCCGAATAATTGCAAGCCGATTGGTTTCCTAACAGGCCATCACCTATTTCACAAAAATTCACCACTCTGGTAATCCGTGGGCGAGAAACTGGTCGACACGAACGTATTTTGGATGCCGAAGAAGATATTTTAAATCTTGTTGAAGAAGATCCTTCTAGCAATACTCGTCAAATGTCTCGCCAATTAAATGTTTCAAATCAGATTGTCTGGCGAATACTGCGCGATTTTTATCCTGTCCATGTACAAAAAGTACAGGCTTTACAACCTGATGATCATCTGTTACGTTTACAATTTTGCCAACGGTTTCTACAAAAACACGCTGAAATTCCAAACTTTTCTTCACTTGTATTGGCGACTGATTGAACACGTGCCGGCATAAATAACTCTCATAATACTCATATCTCGGCTGTTGAAAATTCACATGCTGTTGGTCGTAATCATTTTCAGCACAGATTTTCGATAAATGTTTGGGCCGGAGTGGTCAATGGACAACGTATTGGCCCGTTTATGTTGCCAAATCGATTGACTGCAAATGATTATCTTTTTTTTTGCAAAATAACTTGACAGAACTATTGGAAAAAGTTCCTTTGAATGTGCGTCGACAAATGTGTACATAATGTGATCTGTATACTTTACATAAGATGGTGCCAGAATGCCATCTTTTTTTGGCTAACAAGTTTGCTTCAACATTATTTAATGTCATTAATTTTTATATACGCAGCCCAGACTTTCTTAGTCATGGAATCATGGAATTAAAGATTTGGAAGCAAACAAAAATAGGGGAATAGCTTTGCAAAGAGATACAAAATCGTTAAACGAAAACCGAACCGATATATGCAGAAATTCGATTCTGAAGTTCCTGATATTATAATTATCGTTAATGATGAATTAACATGAAAGTGGTTGGCGGAATTTCATCGTAGTTATCATCACTGGTTTGTTTGTGAAATGACTTAAGTACATAGTTTATATTTTATAGAATTTTATGTCTTTTCTGATGAAAAAGAAAAAACTATACTTGAGCTTCAATAAATTTAAGCAAATGGGATCTAATTTGCTTTCAAAATTGAAGCAGCATTTCCACGAACCTGGGTTGAAATTGTAATGGTTCATAGATAGCGATATTATTGCTTCATTGCGAGATAGAAAAACTGTCTTTCAATATGCTACAAAATGTTTTGACACATTTTGCTGCGAAAATATAGATATTTTTTTTTACATTTACATTCCGTTTTCACCGTGAATCCATTCCCTACCAGTTCCATCTGAAATACAAACGAGATCGAGTTCTTGATGGTCCCTACTTTTGAATATTTTTTCCCATTTCACAAAAACTGGTTGAGGTGTAGATTTTAGGTTAGCTTAGGATTTCATTTCTGCACTTTATTAGAGTTTTTATAGCAGAGATTGGTAACATAAACATTACACCCAAAGATACTTTAAATGTTGAAGTTTAAGAACATTTTTTTCAGTTTCATAACTCGTCGAGGGAATCCATAAATTGGCGGTGAAAGTAGTTACTTCAAGGTACTGGAGAAAGAATTCATATCTATACTTTAGGTCGAGGCTTACAGATTTCTTTTGCCTCGCCTGGCACTTATGCTGAATATTCTCTCTTTTTCATAAATAGCATATTTTACAAGTGCTTCAGAACACATTGTGTTTATAATTTACAAGTATGACTTGATAATTTTCACAGGTGTTTCCAAAACAGCGAATTGGTGTCTTTCTGTTTCACTTTCAGCCACTATCTTTCTGTTGCCTTTATTTCTTTCATAATGGATCTCCAACATGTTATCCTGGGCCTCTAGGCTTCTAGTCCAATGCTGTACTCGCAATATTTTCAGATTATCTTCGCAGTGCGTGCCCAATCTAGTTCCATTTCCTCTGACGGATTTCTTGCCATATTACCCAACTGCAAGGGGAATATAGCAATTTGACTTTTCCTGTTCATTTAATTCCTATTGAATCTACAGTCAATTTAGCCTGGGGAGATGATCTACTGCATTTGTCTAAAAGCTTAAAGAATGGCTATAAAGTTATAGACGACCAAAAAACAAGTTGCCATATTACCCCAACTTACTCTATGCAGTGTGAGCTATAAATGATATTATTAAATGACAAAAATATTCTGTTGGATGTTTAGAATATTAAAGACTTTTTACAGCAGTTTGTACTACTCGATATCTTGGTGGTATTGTTTTGAGGATTCAAGCATGGTATCCTTTCAAATCTGGTACACTTGTATGCAGGTTTTGGTTGAAAGGGCTTGGCAAAAATATTAGGAAGTGTCATGTCAGAACAGAATAACTCAAAATAGCTATGTAGAACCTCGTATTCATACTGGAAATTGGCACAGAAGTACTAGTAAATCTCGAAAATTTAATCTTCTTGCAAAATATTATCGTGTTACGCAAAAAATGATTTAAATCTGCCAGGTTGGCGTAGTTGGCTTATAATCGTTTTCAGATAACATTTTGTTTGTTCAATACAGACAAGTCATCGACAACATATTCTCCTCTCTATCATATTTACTTTTCGAGTTATAACAAAAATGATTATCCAAAAACGTAGTGATAGAAATTTGGCGATTTTGTGGTTTATTACTAAAAATATGTAACAGAAAGAAATCTGTTATGGAATGATTTGTTGTAAATTTTCTTTTAATAATTCATAAATATTTTACTAATTATATCAGAAAATTAGAAAAAATAATAAATTACCTTCATTTCTTGTACAACATCAGCATTTTCAAAATTTAAATCTGGTTGTTCTTTTGCAAATTGATGAAGATAAAATTGACCCCTTTCTGGATGATACGTCCAAGCAGGTCCAGCAAAAACGCTGTTCTAAAATCACAAAGAAATTAAGTTATTAAAGAAATATAAAGAAAAACAAAAATCTTACCCAATTTGTAGGTGGTTCCATGCCATCTTCACCTCTCCCATCTCTCCAAACATAATAATCAGCATATTTTCCTTCCTTCTTAACTGATTTTTGGAACCACTCATGTTGATCGCTTGAATGATTAGGAACTAAATCCATCACAATCCTCATCCCTTTTTCATTCGCCTTAGCAACCAATTCCTCAAAATCTTCCATTGTTCCATAAATAGGATCAATTCCTCGATAATCACTTATATCGTACCCTCCATCAACTTGAGGTGATGGATAAATCGGTGATAACCAAACTGCATCAACGCCCATCTCTTGCATGTGATCCAATTTGCTGATAATACCTTGTAAATCTCCGTTTCCATCACCGTCAGAATCTTTGAAAGTTCTCGGGTAAATTTGATAAATAACGGCGTGTTGCCACCATTCAGATACGACGGATTGTTGACCAAAAACGCCGCAAACTCCTATTAGGAGAAGAAAAATAGGTGTCGAAGGCCAAGTCATGTTGATGACTTAGAAATCGTACGCGTTATGAAATCTCGTGAAACGCACACGTTGATTTATGGTGTGTATCAATTTTTTTTATCTCAAAGTGTGGGAGATAATTTCGCAAAAAAATGTTTTTTTTTTAATTATAACACTTGAGAATATGGAATACTTCAACGTGTTTATATGCTTTTAAGTTTTACGATATCGATAAATTTTTTAGGGTTTTAAAATTCTTGACAAATAGTTTTTTATAACAAACATGTTTACTTACTGGTCCGTTGAAAAACCATGTTTTAAAGAAAATTCCTTGACGTTTTTGTTACAATTTTTAAATCATTTGAAATCATATATTATTAACAGAGAGACGTGAATTAAAAGGTTGTTCGCTTAAACATGGTGAAGGTTATTCCGTGGATGTAATCAGTTTATTTATAACTCATCATCTCACTTTATTCTCAATTGAATTCTTGAATAAAGAAAAAACTGTTTCTGTTTAATAAAATCTTTATTTTTAGGATTTAATATAATTAATTATTTAAAATTTAATGATGTTTAACATGGTGAGCTCGAAGTTTATGGTGTTTTTTAACTAAATTAAAAAAAAAATATTATAAAATAAAAGAATTAAATAAAATTACTTACTTATTGCGAGAGTTTGTACTTTAGGTTCTTCAGTGATTGTTATTATTTCTGGTTCGGTTGATGTAGATGTTGGTCCACAACTGCAACTTCTCCTTAAAGCTATTAAACAATGAATGATTAAAAGCACTGATTTTTCACAAATACAAATTCGATTTTTACCTGATTGATATTTTTTATTATGACCACTAAAATATTTTTTGATGTGAAATATGTGTCGCTTCTTAAATGTTTCAGTCGTTTCAGGTGTTGCAGTTGTTTCAGTTGCTACATCTGTAGAAAATGTTGAGGTGGGTGGGCAAACAAACAAACATACGATATAAGGCGTCCCGAATGTAGTATCGGTGATACTTGGTGCATATGTAATTGTAGGTGGAATTTCACTCGATGTGGTGTCACCATCTCGAAGTTGCTGGTGGTGTTTCTTGATATGATGACGATGAGAAGCTAAAATAAAATGATTGTTAACTTATCTTAAAAATAGAGAAAAGATCTTCATAGTTTTACCCGAAAAAGCTTCGCAAGTAACTGCTAAAAAAATAGCGAAAACAACAGCTACAACAAAATTCATTTTTATTTAAACAAAGTAGTTTTGTTATATAAAAACAATTTCTTTAATCGACTCGAAATGCTTTCAAAAGATAAAACAAAGCCTTTAAATACATACCACAAAAATGCGTAGCCTTAAGTTTTTCAATTTTTCAAATATCTTTAAGATTCTTTAACAATCTGAGTCATGGTCGATTTTATTGTTGATTTCAGGAATGTTGCGAATGCAACATAATAAAGTTATAATAACTTAAAGCTAGTTTTTAAAAATCATTGTCGAGAAAAAAATAAACAAATTCATAGAAAAAGTTTTATTAACATTATTTAATTTTACAAATGTAAAATTAATAATAATCAAATTTATTTATATATTTATCATCGAAATATTATTGATGGCTTTTCTTAAAAACTTGATGTTTAACATGATGTTTTCTATAATGTTTTTTGGTATCTTGATTATTAACTTCTTGCGGATTTTGTGTTATTTCTGGAGCAACAGTTGTGGTACTTGTAGAATTAGAGTTACAAGCGCATGTACAACCCAAAAATTGGGTAAGATCATTCGATGAGCTTGAATCTACAAAACAAATCATTATTAAATCAAAACTACTTAAATCATACTACTTATACCTTCACCATCCTGAAGAGGTTTTCTAACAAAATGTTTTTTATTATTAACATTGTGACTGTTCTTATGATGTGTTATACGTTTCGGATCAACAGGTTGTGCACAAAGTATTAAACAAGCTAATTCACATGCGCATTCTGGTACATTAGCTTGAGAAGATGAATCTTGAGGGGTTTCACTCGATGTGATTTCAGTTTCATCAGCTCTAACTTGACGGCGATGTTTCTTGGGATGATGAACTTAAAATTTATTAAATTATTAAATTGAATCCTTAATGAGTTTATATTTACCATAAAATCCTTCGCAAACCACGATTAAATAAACGACGAAAATAACGCAAAATTTCATCTTGAATTGATTTATTATTGTTATTATTATTACGGTTATGTTGTTTATTATTAGTACGTTCAAATTAAACTAAACTCATTAAACAAACCAAAGCCTTTAAATATGCCATAAATTGGAGCAGACAAGTTTTTAACATATTTTTATGATTCTTAAAGATTTGAGTCATGGTCGCTTTTGTTGTCATGTTATACAACTTTATGAAAGTAATTACTTTAACGGTGAGTCACTGCAGATTATTGAAATACTTGTGTTTTTATCATGTTTTAGTCATATTTGAAAAATTATGGATCAAACATCATTTTAATTCTATTTTCTAACTTAGAAACAAGTATTTTCTACTTGTTTTGAAGAATTCTTCAAGTTGTAACTGTTTATTGATTAGACATCGGATTTTATTAATAAGAAGTATGTGATGTTGAGATAGCGCCTCGGCCGCAAGACACCTCATTTCTTCAACTCTTGACAATAATACATCATGGCCTTAGTAATACTTATACAAGTAAGTATTATTAGGTAGCGAAGATAAATTTGTACTGTTTGTGATAAACTGAAACCCACGTCATACAATCGATAAACTAAATGATAAAACGAGATCGAGCTACTGCCTCGGCCGCAAGCGACCTTGATTTCACTCCATTAATGATTAAAGACAATACAAAGCGATTTTGTCACGGAAGTAACTATTATAGTATATCAAGATAGCTTGTATATGTTTGTATTGGTTCTGAAATGAGGCGCTACAATCTATACTGTTAACGATTAAATGCAATCGAGGTAGCGCCTTGGTCGTAAGTGACCACTCTTACTACTCTCTTTTAATTTTACGACACATTCTAGCTATATGACAGCAATGGATTGACATGAAATATATCACACTCTAGATATCTCATTAAATTCTTTCTTTGACAAGCACTTACGCTTTCTTTAATGATGATAAATACGAATTTTTATGATATCTCAAACCCAAGCTATTGAAGTAAGTCATAATATGGACTACATTAAAATGGAAAGATAATTGGCACAACATGATTTGAACGTAATTTAAAAAAAGTTGTGTTCCAAACGTATGAAAAAATATCCTGAACTAGTCTTTGAACTACTGAGAAGTAATGGATTAGCTGATAGCTTAAGTAGTCTGATCTATTACCAAAACAAGATTTGACTTGTTTCAATGCACGAGAAAGATGTCAAACCAAATATATGGCGAATTAATACACTAAAAAGGTCAATAAAAACCGAGCTCAACAATTGAAGACCTTACAGCAACAACGAGGCAGCTCCATATTTTGTCAAAAATTAGTTATATAAACTGTTGCATCCAATAAAATAGTACCCATCAGTCGGTGCAACAACGAGGCACCAACGTGGTAGGGTAATGTTAAACGGAGTTGACTTCACCTTCAAATTATAGCAACAACAGAGCAGCCCCGGAGCTACCTCGTTGTTGACCCAAACCTTTTATGGATGTGTTCAGAAAATTTCGACCTCCTTCTAAAAGAGAAAATGTTTAAATAAAGAAAAATGGGAACGTAATTCAAGAAAATCTAAAAGAGTAAGAGGAGAAGAGTACATAAGTGTAAGAGGAAAAGTAGCCAAAGCTCGCGTAACTGAAAAAACCTACCAATGTAAACCACAACATTTTGACAAAGTTAACCCAGAAATTCGGGATGTTATCCTTACAAACTTTAATAGCAACGGCAATAAAAAAAGAACAGGATAAGTATCTGTGTGGAATGGTAACATGTAACGAGATAAAACGTAAACGGAGTAAGACAAGTACTGGAAAACGTCGCAGTATATCTAACGTTTAGGTTGTAAGTACATATCTTTTTTTAAATACTCATCTTCTATTACTTATAGTAAGTGTTCTAAAATTTTAAATATTTTTCATTTCTTTATAAATACGAATCAGAACAACAAAACTTAAAGTATGCAACAACACATTTTGTGAATTTCATGGAATATCCAGAAAGAGAGTACAAATTCTAGCTTCTCATATTGGATAACTAAGTTACTACCTGCACCAATATTCATTGATCATTGTATACAATATGTCAAAAAAAGACGTCTAATAAGGTAAAGGAGAAATTTACTATGTCAAAACTCAAGTAAAAGGATCCATCAATATGGTTCAATATCTGCTAGTTTGCTGATTCTTAAGGATTTCCCAATAGCCAGAATTAATGGACACATCCTTTTAGAACCTTCAGCAGCAGCATATTCTACACCAGTGCCATTAAAATTTCAAAAATGAAACAAAATTTTTGATGCCTCCTGAACAATTTGTTAAAATGGAACTGACTCGTCGCTGCTGTAAGGTCTTCAATTTGGGTTTCTTCTGATTAAGCTGGTATATCAAACAGAGTACCGATGATTCGCGGGAAATAAATAAATTAATAAGTTGACACAGATGCACAGGTCCACTTCTAAGAATAGATGACACCAACTATTTTTCAAAGAGAACTGTCGTTGTGGGATGAGAAGCTGTGAAGAAAACGTAGAAAATTCTCACTTTTAGTGAACAATTGTGCTGCTCACCAAAATGTGTTACATTTGAAAAATATAAATGTTACAACCTATAAAAGGGAAGAGTAATTCGAAGTATCAAAGCACATTGCCCCGTCTATCTGAAAGCGTCGGATGCAGCGTTGCCAAAGTATTGTCTTTGATGGCTTCCATTCGATTGGTGGCACAAGCTTGGAATACAGAATACACGAATTTATTGACTTAATTAACCATACCTATTTAAAAATTATATTTTATTATAACGTACACACATCCTGATCCCGTGATGATACGTTATACCCGGAGTCTACTGTATATCGTTTGGCAAATGTCGCTTTTTGAATTGGGACTGAATTTTCTTACCTATAGAGTGTGCAAACTTTAACACTTTATTATTACTAGTATGGCAAATGTTAACCGCTGTAGTTCTTCTTCAGTATTCTAAGACTGCGACTATTATTAGGATTATTCCTACTTTATCCATTATTCTGCTCTCTACTAGTGTTAACCCACATCTTATTATACATCCCTTATCAAATTTCTGTAATATCATTCCAGTTTTCTTTTGGTTTCTGATATTCCCATTACTTCTAATTTGTATTTGCTATAATATCACCACTTCTTTCCCTATTAAAGTAGCAAAATAGTAAACAACACTTTATTTTTCGACTCTTATCAGGGAGTAGCAGGTTCAGGTAGGATTGCTATTTGGGTGACTCTAACATAAGTTAGGAATACCTCTTACTCTACTTCTTCATGAATCATGTTTCTTAGTATGAATGCCGCATCGCTATTTGGCAATGACAGAAATTGTTTTTTTTTAAATGAAACATTTCCACCATATATTTCTAGTATGATTTCAATCCAGGATCAAATTAAATACTTTTCGTTCCCATTATCTCCATTTTGGTTCATCTTGAACGTTTAGTATTTACTTCTAGTGTTCCATGATCAACTCCTTCCATTTTTTTATAGAATTCTTGCATCAAACATTGATTGATTAACTTTTGTAATCGAATACATTCCATATATAGCTGATATCAGCATCGCCCGTTCTTATAATTTGATGGATGTCGTTGTTTAAAACAATTTTTGTTTCCCTTTACACTAGTTAGCAAGGTTTTTCCTATATTAAAATAATCGTTAATAAGAAACAAGCAAGAAATGAACTAAGGGAAATAGTCATGTTTCAATGCATTTATTTATTTTTGGAAATTTTGTGTCAATAGTAAATAATAATATTTTCGTTGAAGTTTCAAAATTGTAAAGAACCTGTTAATTATAACAAACAATTATTTTAATTTTTCTTTCAATGAACACCTTAACGATGGTACATTGTTTGAATTTTTAAAATTCTTTAGGATTATGGTGCATATGCCAAAAAATGGTCAAGGTTAATTTGTTGATATATAATTTGTGTATTCATCTCTATTTATTGTTGATTGAGTAAGCTTAAATAAAGAAAAAGAAATGCAGTGATTGTGGCTAAGAAAATCTTTAATCTTTATTTTGAAGATTTAATACAATAAATCAATAACATTTCAATGATGTTTGATGTTTTTTTATCACCTAGATTCATTTAATAAATAATTAAATAAAATAACTTGGTCCAGGATTTACCACTGTTGGTTCTTGTGAAATTGTTGATACATCTGGTTGTTTTGTTGTAGTTGATTTAGGACAGCGACGGCAAAAACAATAATGTCGAACATATCTTTTCTTTATATCTACAAAAAAATCATTTAAACAACTAGTTTATCACAAATTATTATTCAAAATTATTTATACATTTACCATTTCTAACAGCATGATGATGTTTTTTATTAGCAGCATTGAAAATCTTCTTATTATGAAACATATGTCGTTTTCTCTGAGAAGTTTCTGTTGGAGCTGTATAAATTGTTTCAGTCGTTTCAGTTATTTCAATTGGAACAGGTTCAATTCTACAAATAACTCCACAATGGCATAAAAGAACGGGTCCGGGTCCTAATATAGGTGGATAAATTTGTGAAGTTGTAGTTTCAGTGGGAGAATCAGAAGAAATTTCAGTCGATGTGGGGTCACCGTCACGAAGTTCATGGTGATGTTTCTTAATATGATGACGATGGGAGGCTTAAGTTTAAAAAATATGTTAGCTTGAAGTAAATATACAAACATTTTTTTATGTTACCTGATAAAGCTTCGCAGGCAACGCCTATAGAAATAATGAGGAAAACAAATTTCATTTTTATTTCTATAATAAATGCGAATACACTAGTTTCGCAAAATAAAACAACACCTTTAAATACATACTTCAACAATGATGGCTATGTGTTTTTTAAATATTTTCTAAATTCATAAATAATCCGAGTCATGGTCGCTTTTGCTATGGAGTTATACAATGTTGTCATTTCCTAGAAAAACTTTCGTTAATATGATATTAATGTTACATATATAAAACAATAAAGCTTTAATAATAATAAAGCTCAGCTTTTTTTAAAGTAATTAACAGAAAACTAATATTTATGCACATTTTATTTATTCAACACTTTTCAATCAACTACAAATCATATAACAAATTTTAGAATTTCAAAAATTAATGATTTATTTAAGCTGAAACAATCGTGTTGTAAAGATGATTACAATTAGTGATGATTTTTCTTCATATCATGATGTTTAACATGATGTGCTTTTACGTTATGGTGCTTTTTACCATCTGCATGCATAAAAAGAATATTAAAAAATAAAATAGGAAAATATGTTAAAGTTACTTACGTCGGTTTTGAGGTGCTTCCGTGGTTACTGAACTTCCTTCACTTACAGTAGTTTCAGTGCTTTCAGTAGTTTCAGTGCTTTCAGTAGTTTCAGTGCTTTCAGTAGTTTCAGTACTTTCAGTAGTTACAGTACTTTCAGTAGTGTCCGGATTTTGTGTTGTAGTACTTGTAGTACCACTATTACATCGGCAAACATTACATAGATTTAAAAATGTACGAGTATCTTCCAATGAATTTAAATCTGCCAAGAAAAACTCGTTAAATACAATAATATTTATTAAAAAACAATAATTGTTTTTCATCATTTTCTTCCTCACCTTTTCTGACTGAATGATGGCGTTGACCACCAGAAATTGAACACACTGAGCACACAAAAACTCGACATAGAAATCCGCCAGGAATAACTCGTTTTGTATGTGAAACATCAGAAGATTCACTATGTTTTACTTGATGATGTTTCTTAACATGATCATTTGAAGCTTAAATTAAGAGAAAAATTAAATACTTTTTAAAACATTGCTTTTTTATTTACCTGAAAATCCATCGCAAGCGATAATTAAAGTAATAGCGAACACCACCAGTTTCATCTTGTTTGGTTGAATTGGTTTTGTTACAGTTTTTTAAAAGAGTCGAACTGAATTGCTTTCATGAAAAAAACCAACGGCTTATATACCCAAGGAAATTTGAATAATATTTTTGAGGATTCTGGAATATTCAACAAGTTGATAACAATATACTAAAATTTATGTTGTTAGAAAGATAAAGTCATGCTAAAAAAATGTGTATTAATTGCTTTTTCGAATGTTTTAAAAAGTAGTTCACTGAAAAAATCGTTAACCTTGAAGGAAAACTGTCATTAGAAATTTTCCTACGGTAAGAGTTGCAAATTGTCTTATTTGCTATCAGATTTAAAAGAAAATAGTAGCTAGAGAAAAGTTTTTAGCACAGGAAGTTTTGAAAACTGAAGACTAAATTTCAACAACAAATCTAGCTATCATTATACATACAACAGTACAGCCAATGATTAAAAAAAGAAAAAATTGACTACTGTATGACCTAAACATATTGAGCCAATTTTAATGAATGTATGGAAAGAGTCGGCTTATTCGAAGAAATGATGGTTAAACTCAACCAACATTTAAAAGCTTTTCCGCTAATTAACTCGTAGGAGATTATTCTTCTAGAAAGTTATAAATTATTTTGTCGGTAAAAACAAACTGAAAGAGATAAATGTAAAATTTCAATCGGAAATATACTTCTTATTCTTTCAGTTGCGTTACAGCACAGAACGAGCTTCAATTTCTACAACTCCTCGCACCCGCTCGCCAATTTCTTGCTCCAAGCAATTCCAAAATTATCTAAGCATCGCGTTCATTACTTTTTTAGGAACCCTTCTTTCATCCACTCGTTATGTCCAGTCTACTGAAATCTTCGTATCTTTACAAATCTTACAATAACCAGGTCCTTGTATATCTCTCCCACTTCGTAGTTATATCGAATGCTCCAATCGTTGCCTTTGGTTATTGCGCTAAAAATTTTCCCTAATACCCTCCATTCAAATACTGCTAACATTTAACTGCATTAAGTGCATATAGTGTTTTAGTTCCCTTCATGCTCCTTTATCGTATTTTCTGTACGGTGTTGTTGGTCTCATTTACTATACTTCCCAGACAGGTAAAATATGGCTACGTCAAAAATGTTATCGTTTCAAATCGTCCAGTTTTGTCCTAGCCTGTATGCCTTTATATGTAACCTTACACTGTGTGCATCCTCCTTAATCTCTTCATAGCACTTCTTCATTCCTTGTTTGGATCCATGGATATCATCTGCGTGCTGTTAATTGCATATCTTTGTACAAATTGGTGTTATTCTGGTTTATTTGTAATTGCTTAGAGACCTTCTGTAGCACTACATTAAACAATATGGGAGCAAGTCCCATCACCTGGTCACTGCATCTGCCCTCCACTTTGACTATACCCTTCGAGTTGATCATCACCGTACGAGTCAGATTTACCAATTTAAAAGGAATTCCCATTTTCTGCATGGCTCTATATAGTGCTTCTCGATCCAAAGTGTTAGCCACTATTAAAATCTGATCTGAGGTGGATCTGCCACCTGTAAACCCATTCGAGTAAGTTCTCCTCGGTGTACGGGGTGATTTTGTACCGTAATGTATCTATTGCAATTTTATATGTGATATCCTCTCTAAAATTATTTTTTATATATTGAACATATAAGGACAGACCCTCAATCTGTAGGCATCTTCTCAGTCTCCCACATTTTCACTAAAAGCGGATATATTAGGTCGTCACCTCAATGCTTCAGTAGCTCTGTTGGGATATATCTACCCCTGGTACCTAATTACATTTTAGCCTCTTTATGCTGCGTTATGCACATATTTGGGGTTGTTTTTAAGGAGCCACTCGAAATACTGCTTCCTTTTATTCAGCACCTGATCCCTATTTACCAATATCTCACCTTCCATGTTCCTACATATTGCATGCCTAGGCCGAGATATGTGTTCCCAGATTTCTTTATACATTTCTGGTTTCTTGTAGTAAACTTCTAGTACTGTGCTTAGTTGGGTATGTATAATATAATATACTTACCCTGGCAAAAATAAGCCTACATTATGTAGATGTGCAGATTGTATCACAGATATCAAGCCTAAACGTTCCAGTAAATAGAAGGAATATAATTTCAGGTTTAATTTTCTGGGAGTGTGTATTCGCTTAATTTGTGCGTTCCTAATTTCGATCACATAACCTACATTTTGATCTGAATTACTTCCTTCGTTATCATTACAATCTGTAGGATTAGGAGTTTTAAAGATAACTATTTAAAGCAATGTTCATTTTACTAATTACTACATTAATATCTTAATATCATATAAGGTTTAAATTTACACAGAAATATTCTTGTTTTCTTGAACAATGTCTACATGGGGGCAAACGCTGATCTGACATGTTTTGCAATCTTGTTGTTGTATCTAGCTGTTGCTTTGTAATTTTTGGCCGAATCATGTTTTTCTTTTTTTGTTTCTTAGGTTAGTTAGAGCAGCTGTACTAACTAGTACAAGTTGGAACTCAACTATTTTCTTTTGTATGTTTTTTTTTTGTACAATTAAGCTTATTTTCTAATAAAGGCATTTATTATATGATCTAATAACTGTCTAAACAAGTTGTATTTTACGGGCAAAATATAATATAATAATAATAATAGTACTTTATTGACCGCAACAACCAACATAAAAAAGGTAAACATAGTAATATAAAAGAAAAAAATAAAATAAAAGAAATTCTTTCTACAAGAACTGATATTTGAATTTGTTTCTGAAATAACCATTTTGCAGTAACCAGTAAGTAATATAAACAACTAATATAAATATGTGGATGTTACAAGAGATCATGGTCAGATTTTATGATCAACTTATTTGTTGACGATTTTTAATTAATATGGGCAATTCATGTCCTCCACTATATGATATTTTTTTAATCGCTGTAATCGCTTAATTTTTCTTTCAATGAACACCTTAACGATGTTTCATTGTTAAAGTTTTTAAAATTCTTTAGAATCATGTGGCATATGCTAAAATGGTGAAGGTTCTTTTGATGATATATAATATGTGTACAGTGGTGTCATCTCTATTGTTGATTGAGTAAGCTTAAATGAAGGAAAAGAAAAACAATGATTGCGGCTGAGAAAAACTTTAATCTTTAACACAATAAATCAATAATAATTCAATGATGTTTATGATATTTTTTATCACCTAAATTCATAAAATAAGTAATTAAAAAAATAGAATAACAAAATTAAGTAAAATAACTTACTTGGTCCAGAAGTTACCACTGTTGGTTCTTGTGAAATTGTTGATACATCTGGTTGTTCTGTTGTAGTTGATATAAGACACCGAAGGCAAAAACAAGAATGTGGAATACCTAATTTGTTTATAAATATAAAAAAAAATCATTTAAACAACTAGTTTACCACAAATTATCATTTAAAATTATTTATACCTTTACTATATCTAACAGCGTGATGTTTTTTATTAGGAGCATTAAAAATCTTCTTATTATGAAATATATGTCGTTTATTCTGAGAAGTTTCTGTTGGAATCGTATCACTTGCTTCAGTTGTTGTTTCAGTCGTTTCAGTTGTTTTAATTGAAACAGGTAAAAGTGGACAAAAAAACTCCACAATGGCATATAAGAGCGGGTCCGTGCCGAAAGTTAGGTGTAGAAATTTTTGGAGTTGTAGTTTCAGTGGGAGAATCAGAAGAAATTTCAGTCGATGTGGGGTCACCGTCACGAAGTTGATGGTGATCTTTTTTAAAATGATGACGATGGGAGGCTTAAGTTTAAAAAATATGTTAGCTAGAAGTAAACATTTTTTTTATTTTACCTGAAAAAGCTTCGCAGACAACGCCTAAAGAAATAATGAGGAAAACAAATTTCATTTTTATTTCTATAATAAATACGAATACACTAGTTTTGCAAAAGAAAACAACGCATTTAAATATATACTTCAACAATGATGACTATGTGTTTTTTAAATATTTTCTAAATTCATAAATAATTCGATTCATGGTCGCTTGTGTTGTGGAGTTATACAATGTTGTCAATATACAGTTGCAATAACTTTATGGGAATAAGTAGAATGGCAATCACTTTCTAGAAAAACTTTCGTTAATATGATATTAATGTTACATATTTAAAACAATAAAGCTTTAATAATAATAAAGCTGAGATATTTTTTTAAATAATTAATAAATTACTGATGATTTACTTCAACAACTTTAAGCAAAAGGTAATGATGTGTGAGATAGAAAGAAAAACTAATATTTATTCACATTTTATTTATTCAACACTTTTAAATCAACTACAAATCATATAACAAAATCTAGAACTTCAAAAATTAATGATTTATTTAAGCTGAAACAATCGTGTTGTACAGATCATTAAAATCAGTGATGATTTTTCTTCGTATCATGGTGTTTAATATGATGTGCTTTTACGTTATGGTGTTTTTTACCATCTACATGCATAAAAAGAATATTAAAAAATAAAATAGGAAAATATGTTAAAGTTACTTACGTCGGTTTTGAGGTGCTTCCGTGGTTACTGAACTTCCTTCACTTACAGTAGTTTCAGTGCTTTCAGTACTTTCAGTAGTTACAGTACTTTCAGTAGTGTCCGGATTTTGTGTTGTAGTACTTGTAGTACCACTATTACATCGGCAAACATTACATAGGTTTAAAAATGTACGAGTATCTTCCAATGAATTTAAATCTGCCAAGAAAAACTCGTTAAATACAATAATATTTATTAAAAAACAATAATTGTTTTTCATCATTTTCACCCTCACCATTTCTAACTGAATGATGGCGTAGACCACCAGAAGTTGAACACACTGAGCACACAAAAAATCGACATAGAAATCCGCCAGGAATAATTCGTTTTGAAACATCAGAAGATTCACTATGTTTTACTTGATGATGTTTCTTGGCATGATCATTTGAAGCTTAAATTAAGAGAAAAATTAAATACTTTTTAAAATATTGCTTTTTTATTTACCTGAAAATCCATCGCAAGCGATAATTAAAGTAATAGCGAACACCACCAGTTTCATCTTCTTTGGTTCAATTGGTTTTGTTATAGTTTTTTTAGAATGTCGAACTGAATTGCCTTCATGAAAAAAACCAACGGCTTATATACTCAAGGAAATTTGAATAATATTTTTGAGGATTCTGGAATATTCAACAAGTTGATAACAAGTTTCTAACAATTTAGCAAATTGCGATTAATCATAACTATGTACTGAAATGTATGTTGTTAAAAAGATAAAGTCATGCTAAAAAAATTTGTACCAATTGCTTTTTCGAATGTTTTAAAAAGTAGTTTACTGAAAAAATCGTTAACCTTGAAGGAAAACTGTCAGTAGAAATGTTCCTACGATAAGAGTTGCAAAGTGTCTTATTTGTTATCAGATCTACCAGAAAACAGTAGCTAGAGAAAAGTTTTTAGCAGATGAAGTTTTGAAAACTGATGAGTAAATTTCAACAACAAATTTAGCTAACATTATACATACAACAGTGCAACAATGATTAAAAAAAGAAAAAATTGACACAATTGATAGATAGTCATAAAAATCACAAATTATTGTTGGTAAAAACAAACTGATAGAGATAAATGTAAAACTTCAGTCAGAAATATACTTCTTCTTTCAGTAGCGTCACAGCACAGAACGAGCTTCAATTTCTACAACTCCTCGCACCCGCTCGCCTCTATGTTATCTTATCATCGCGTTCGAGGTCTTAACCTTGGTTGGTTTGTGACCTGGCAGTACTTCAAAATGTTATCGTTTCAAATCGTTTAGTTTTGTCCTAGCCTGTATGCCTTTATATGTAATCTTACACTGTATGCATCCTCCTTAATCTCTTCATAGCACTCCTTCATTCCTTGTTTGGATCCATGGATATCATCTGCGTATGCTGTTAATTATATCGCTGTACAATGCTGGTGCTATTCTGGTTTATTTGCAATTGCTAGAGATTTTCTGTAGCGCTACGTTAAACAATATGGGAGCAAACCTCATTACCTGGCCGTAAGCCCTCTTTAGGGNATAAAATTTGTAGTTTTCGACTGAAGATGAGGTAACACCTCGAAACTAGTATCGAAGTAAATCTAATAAATTTGCAAGTAAGAGGTTACTTATTTTGTTTTTCATTAAATATTATAATATAACCTAAACGTATTGATCCAATTTTAATGAATGTATGGAAAGAGTCGGCTTATTTGAAGAAATGATGGTTAAACTCAACCAACATTTAAAAGCTTTTCCGCTTATCAACTCGTAGGAGATTATTCTTCTAGAGATAAATGTAAAACTTCAATCAGAACTCTACTTGCCTCTATGTTATCTTATCATCGCGTTCGAGGTCTTAACCTTGGTTGGTTTGTGACCTGTCATTACTTTTTTAGGAACCCTTCTTTCATCCACTCGTTGTGTCCAGTCCACTAAAGTCTTCGAATCTTTACAAATCTAAAAATATCCAGGTCCTTGTATAACTCTCCCAGCTCCTAGTTATATCGAATTCTCTAGTCGTCGCCTTTGTTTATTGATGTAAAGATTTTCCTTAATACCCTCCATTGAAATACTGCTAACATGTAACTGCATTAAGTGCACATAGTGTTTTAGTTCCCTTCATGATCCTATATCGTATTTGCTGTACGGTGTCAATCGTCTCATTTACTATGCTTCCCACATAAGTCAAATATGGCACTACTTCAAAATATTATCGTTTCAAATCATTCAGTTTTGTCCTAGCCTGTATGCCTTTATATGTAACCTTACACTGTGTGCATCCTCCTTAATCTCTTCATAGCACTCCTTCATTCCTTGTTTGGATCCATGAATATCATCTGCGTATGCTGTTAATTATATCTCTGTACAATGCTGGTGCGATTCTGGTTTATTTGCAATTGCTAGAGATTTTCTGTAGCGCTACATTAAACAATATAGGAGCAAACCTCATTACCTGGCCATAAGCCCTCTTAAGGGTTGTCTTTACAGAGTCCCTCAAAATACTACTTCCATCTATTCAGCACCATTTATCAATATCTTACCTTCCATGCTGCTACAGATGGCATGCCTAGGCCTAGATATATATTCCCAGTTTTTTTTATGCTACTATAGAAATTTCTGGCTTCTTGTCAGAAGTATAATTCTTGTACTTAGATTGGCAAATATAAGTATACATTACGCAGATGTGCACATTGTATCACACATAACAAACCTAAACGTTCCAGTAAATAGAAGGAACATAATTTCAGCTTTAATTTTCTGGGAGTGTATATTTACCGAAATGTCTAGTGCGTTCCTAATTTCGATCATTTAACCAGCATTTGATCTGGATTACTTCCTTCGTTATCATTACATTCTGTAGGATTAGGAGTTTTAAGAGCAACTATTTAGAGCAACGTGATTTTACTAATTATTGCATGAATACGATCTAATAACTGTATCAAACAAGTTGTATTTGGATCATGGTCAACTTATTTGTTGAAGATTTTTTTGTCTGTCAGTCATTTAACAAGTAATTTAGTGATATTTATGCTATGCTTTCAACATACGATCTCTTGAAGTGTTGGAATAAAATAATAAGATCATACCTCTTTAGCTATATTAAATGCACCAGCAGTTCTTTTTTTTTCTAAATTGTAGGTAACCAATTCTGCTAGACATTCTTTTCCAAAAGTGGCACTATCATCTACATCTCGCACTTGATCTAGAGTGTATCCTTAATATACAATAATTTTTCCAAATTTTGTTAATTGTACTTTTGATCTACAATTTCTGCTATAATTTCCTACCCGCAATATTAGTCCTAAATGTTGTAGCAGTCCTATACATACATGAATTAGCGCCACACAAATCTGCATTCGAACTAAATCAGAAAGGTACAATCCTGAGTTAAATCAGAAAGAAAGAAGTCTGAACTAAACCAAAAAGAAAAATCCTCAAAACAGACTAAAAAGACGCCAACAATATAGATAAGAACAAAATCAGAAGGAAATATACCGAAAGAAGTAACATTGAAAGGCAAAAGAAAGGACCCAATAAGTGATTAAGAAGAATGCATAAATTATTGTCAGTGCTTTACTGATCAAATAAATTTCAACAAACCAAGAAGTAACGATTTTTGGAGTAGTCTTAACACTGCTTTCTAATGACATGAATCTTGTGGTTGCGAAGACAGTGTTGTAAGATTGACTTAGAATTGAATTTAGCTCATTGGAAATGGAAATAATCAACGAACAATGAAAAGTTGTTTAAATAATTGATGCTNTTATTTTGACGAAATTATTAAAAATTTATCTTTATTTAGGTTATGTTATTAAAAATTTATCTTTATATGTAACCTGTTTACCTAGATGAAAACAATTACTATGTTTATCCTTCGACGCTTCTCAATGTTTTCGATATATCTCTTAATTTATTATTATACACAAAGGTATACGGTTTACATGTATATATGTTACATGTAGGTATACAAATAAGTGAGTCATAACTTACCTGCGAGATATTTTTTATTTTATTATTATGTAAAGGTGTACGGGTAATGGAATATTGGAACATTGGAATATAATAAAATCATAATCGTTGGTTTCAAACTGAGGCATCATACGAGTCGCTAAAACATAGTTAGAAAAGAACATTAGCTAGGCAAATGCTAGAAATCTCGAAATCTTTGTATTCAACGATCGTCCTAAAATCAAATTGTTCGCAGGGGCAAATACCTTTATAACGAGTGCTTCTACAGAGTATCCCTGTTGGTTATTGGAAAAATTTTCTCTTTGTTTTTCTCAACAAATAAGATATCTGATAGAAGATTAACGAGAAAAGACGTTAAATTATTGTTGGTAAAGTAATTAAGAAAAACGGAAATATTTATTCTCATTTTATTTATTCAAAACTTTTAAATTAATCACAATATTTGTAATCAATTTTCAGTTAGATAAGATCACCCCAATCAGTGATGATTTTTCTTGCTCTCATGATGTTTACCATGATGTGCTTTAACATTGTGGTGTTTCTTAGCATCTGCATTCATGAAAATCGAAAATTTAATTTTAAAAATAATACAAAAAAATATAAAACGTTACTTACGTCGTGCTTGAGGTTCGTCGGTGTTTTGTGAGGTTTCTGGCTCATCGGTAGTTTCTGGAGTTTCTGGAGTTGTTGGGGTTTCTGTATTTTCTTGATTTTCTGTACATTCTGTTGTTGTATTACAATTGCACATTTTACACATATCAGGTTTATCGCTAATATCTTCAGTTATATTTACATCTACAAGAAAAAAATATTTAGATAAAATAAGAAGTGTTTACGTTTAAAACGAAAACATTTCTTGTTAACGATTTTTACCTTCACCATCTCTAACAGAATGATGTTTTTTATGATGCACATTATGACTCTTCTTGTGAGAGTTATGGCGTTTTGCATCAGGAGTTTTCGGACAATTTGCACAAATCCCATCACAGAAGCTTCCCTCCCGTTTTGATGATGCGACATGAGAAGTTTTATCATGCTTTACTTGATTATGTTTTTTAGCATGATGATTGTTTGAAGCTTAAATTAGAATAAGATAGATTTATTGTTTTATTGAATATTGTTTTAATTACCTGAAAAAGCTTCACAAGCTACTATTAAAGTAATAGCAAAGACAATCAGCTTCATCTTGTTTGGTTGAATTAGTTATCTTGTAGTTCTTACGAAAGGCTCAAATTGAACTGCTTTCACAAAACAAACCCACCACTTTAAATACTAATACGATAATTTAAAAAACGATTTTTAAAATATTTTCGAAACATTCTTAAGTTGCAATGTTATGTAAATGATAACTATAATTATGTTTAGTCATAGTGAGGAATTTAAGGTTGTTTTAAGGAACTTATAGTCACGCTGAAAAAATTGTATATTTAATGAGCTTTTTAGAACCTTTTAAAAAATTGTTTTACGCAAAATCGTTAACGTTAACGTTATGCAAACTATAATTATTTTTATTAGTTATAAATGACTCATAGCGAAAGTGAGAATCAACAAAATACTTAATACTTAATATTTTATAATGATTTTATACTAGTTTCGATTGCATCTTGAGTTGATTAATTAACTTATTTTTTTTTTGTACTGAGAAGAGCTAATTCAAAACAAAATTGGTCGGAAAAATTTAGTACATGAAGCTATCAGACAATCCTAACATCAAAAATGAACAACGTTAAATCTAGCTATGATCTGGATGGCTAATTCTGGTCACATGATTGGAAAATTATAGCATGAGGAAATAACTCTTATTAATTTAAGTAGAAAAATAGTATGATTATGTCACAATATCGTACACCATCTGTTATTACTTTACTAGCAGAACATAAAAATTGTATGATGATACATCGAAACGATAATCTACACCAAACAATAACACCTTGTGGATGCATTTTTACTCCAATTGCAACAATTTGGACGATTTACGAATCCATCAAGATGAAAATGAGTTCCATCTCTCCAAATGATTTTGATTTTGTCCTATTTGATGTTCCAAAATTCTTCTTGATGATTGCTAGTTTTAAAACATTGAAATCTATGAGGACTTTCTAAATTGATAAGAATCTCTCAAAATCTTTGCAAATACTGTGACAAGTGGCAATTATCTTCACAAATGCCTTGCAAAGCTTACATACCTTTGAAGTTCAATGAAAATCTTCTGGTAATCCTAGGAAATATTTAGGTGTTACCGACTCCACGGACAACGTTACCCATTGATATTCTCCGACAAATTTCAGGACGTTTTTACACTTTCTTGGAGGTTGTGCAAACATTTGAAAAAACCTTTGTTATTTATTATTATCTAAAAATCTTAGAATTCTTAGAAAAGTCTAGTTGCCTTTAAACATCGTTATAAACACTTTGAAATTTTCTGTACTATCCTGGACTATTTTCTGGAAGTTCCAGAACTATGTTCATAAAGACTCTTAGATCACATGAAAACCTTTAAAATTGCTAAATATATTTGAAAATCCTTAAAACCTTAAAAATCTGTGAAAAAGTTCAGAAAAAACTCAAATAGCTCATAGAACGACAAAGACGTCTATGAAACTCCATAAAAAACATAAAAAGCCTTTTAATGTAAACACATATACATATATAACATATATAAAACAAGTATATTGCACTATAGTAATTCAATTGAACAATGCTGGATATCTTTTTCTTTCAATATATTAAAAATTTGTTTAGGTGTATGTTATAGGTCTGAAATCTACAATAAAAGATACTTTATAGACGAGTTGGAGACTACCCTCTCTCTAATTTATCCATGCTTTGATCTTTGTGTACTCTGGTGATTTCAATATCGATTTGCTGGACCTGACGGATGTATACTGTGATGTGATGAGTTTCTATAAATGATTGGGAGTTTTGAAATGGTATTAACTATTGATCAGCCAACGAGAATCACAGCCACTAAAAGTAGTTCAATTTTTTGTAATCATCGTGATTTTATCACTGAAGCAAATGTTGTTCCTGAACACAATGTAAGTGATCATGAACTTATATTCTGTAACTTTAATTTAACAGTCGAGTCAGTGACTTTACCTAGGTATATTAGGTCTTTGAAATATCTTGACCAAGCTCTTTTTTAAACTTCATCCAATCACTACATGTCATTGCACCTACATATCATTGACGACAAGGTAAACTTGCTAAATCATTTGTTGATCTCAGCTATTGACATATATGCCCCCCGTGTGAGAGTAACTTCTGCCAAGGATCCCTGTCCGTAGCTTACTGATAATGTAAGAGTGATGCGAGACTTAAGAGATGAGGCTCTGTCAAAATTTAAAAAAACAAAAAGTCAGTCTGACTGGATCTACTATAAAGAATTAAGAAATCTTGTAAATACCGCTATTAAGTGTGAAAAACGTGCTTACATTACTCATGCTTACCTCATATAACAAATATTATTAATACTTGTCTATTAGAAGGTGTTTTCCCTTCAATATGGAAACAGTCCATTGTGATACCGGTACCGAAAGTATCAAGTCCAAACGAATACTCATGCCTGAGACTCATAAGCATTTTGTGTTCCTTATCAAAAGTATTGGAAACGATAGTTAACAGGCAATGGACGGAGTTTCTGAAGGCTGAGCGCATTGTTCCAGTGAATCAGTCTGGTTTCAGGGAAGGACATAGCTGTGAAACCGCTCTGAACAATATAGTGGGTGATATTGTTACTGCAACTAACTCCAATAGATTGACTCTTCTGGGGATGTTGGATTTCTCCAAACCAAGATTTGTTAATATCAATTCTTGACCATATCGGGCTGGATTCCGTCTCATTAGCTTTTTCAAAAATTACCTTAAAGGCAGGATTCAATCAGTCAGTATTGATCAGGTGAAGTCGAGTGCTTTGGATATAAAGTCTGGGGTCCCGCAGGGATCGATTCTCGGCTCTACCCTATTTAAAATTGACACGATAAATTTCAATAGCTTCGTTAATTTCTGTAGCGTCCACTACTATGCTGATGATACTCAAATTTATCTGTCCTTTTCTGAAGGCCACTTTGATGAAAGCTTCAATAAGTTCAAGCGTGACTTACATATGAGGCTCGGGTGTATTACTTAAAGATAAACACTAATAAGACCTAGATCATTCTGTTTAGGCCCCCGAAGTTAAAAAAGAAATTTATTAATGGGTTTTATCACCTGTCGATAGGAGATATTCCTATTCCATTGAGTAAGTCTGTCAAAATCCTCGGACTGGTCATGGATGAGGCGTTGAGCTTTAGATTGGTCGAGCTTATGGCTCGTTAAAATTGATTTATTCTAATCGTTATAGTCTCGACTGGCACACAAAAAAAGTTTTATGTGGCTCTCTGGTATTGTGACACTTCAATTACTGTGAGCTTTTTTGGATTCCAGGCATCAGGGAAAAATTCAAAAACTTTCAAACTCGTGCATCCATTTAATTTTCGGCCTGAGGAAATATGATCATGTGTCTTTTGGTTTTAAGCAGTTAAAATGGCTGAACATGAAATCTCGCAGATACATCCACAAGGCTTGCTTGTATTATAGGATCATTACTGAAGGTACCCCTCCATACCTGCACGATAAGATTAAATTACATAATGTACCTCCTTCCCACCGAACAGAATTTTTCAAACGGTGTTTTTCTTATCAGATATACACTACATACAATAATGTACCTCAGCACCTGATTGGACTGCCCCTCAACCGATTTAAAAGAGCATTGAAATGTTGGGTGATGGAGGGCTTCTGTGTGTAGCTACCTGTCTATGTGTGCCTTTAACTTTTATCTCTGATTCTTTTATGAGTTTTCATTGTTTCCTTGCAATTGGTATTAGTATCTTTTTTCTTTTGTTTTGTTGTTTTTTTTTCTTTACGGTCTTTCTTTTTATTAGGTTGAGTGGAAGATCAGGCTTGACCTGAACTCCGCCTATATGTTCGGGCTTTTTTCTCAATAACTAAATTAAATTTCTTTTATAATATTTTGTTTTATTTTTTGTATTTTTATTATTTCTTTTTTTTTTAAATCATTCTTATACCGAATGAAGTATTATTTACATTTTATATTACTTCACAAGATTGTAATTATAAAATTGCCCGAATACAGTGATTATTATTATTATAAGTATAGGTATTTTTACCCCAATTTGTATTTATAAATTTTCTCAAGTACACTTCTGCATGAAGTTATAAAAAAGAAATAAATGGTTTGAACTTGTATGCTGAGGAAATTCATTCCCCTCGTTATCAGTTATCAATAAAGGCCTAGTTTCACGAGGCAAGAAACAAATTTTAGAAGCAAATCTATCCAGCAGTCGTAGTTTCGATACCAATAGAGCTTTACCCTCAAGGTAGTATTGACCGGAGCATCAGCTGTAATTCAATCATAATTGAGGTTGACTCTAATCTATTAGTTCTAATTGTAAAAATGTAGAAAGAATACTTGAACACTTCTGCTCCAAATCCTGATACAAGACGTTCTAAACGTTCTAACCGTCTTACAGTTGGAAGACTGCATTGACTGCAATTTTTTCCGGATTTAAAAATATTTTTATTGACAAAATGTATATTTTATTATAATTACTGTAAATTTATTTTAAATTTATTATATTAAGGTGTTCCACGGAGACATAAGTTTTGGAAACACTGATATAAGCATTAATAAGAGTTATTTGGCGAGGATTGCCAATTAACAATTAATTCTTAACTACAATTATGTGAGATCAATAAGGATGCTAGTCAAAATTAAGAACTCAGGTAAAATAACCAATGTTATTTTAGAGTCAATTCATATTGTGCAACAAAGAAAAACATAGAAGAATGCATGCAGAAATCAAGGATCGAATATTCCATTACTTCCAATCTTTTAGATATTTAGACAAAAACATTTAGATAAGATAATTGCATTTGGAACAGAGATCTCGAATATACAAGATCAAATATAAGATTGGTTTGTAAATTGTCTAAAATCTTTCATGCGTAAACTTAAAATTGTTGCTGCTCTTCAAGAACGCAATCACAATTTGAATTCCATTTGAATGCATCTCGATTACGTTTGATGAAACCAAGGATTGAAATAAATACACTATATTAATCATCAGCTATTACTCTATGCTCTGAAACCTATCAGTTATAAAAAGTAAACCCATAGAAGAACTCAAAGCAAGCTTTTAATTGATGGAAACCAATTATACGCTTATCTTAAATATAAATTTATAGATAGATAGTGAAAGTATTGGAAGAAAGTATTTGGAAAAAAGCTAAGAACATCATGACGTGTAAAGCTAACACATAAAAATTGTATGAAATAATATAATATAATAATTTATATATATTTTATTTATTCAGTTATGTATTTAAATAAATATTTCAGCTGGAAAGATCACATAAATAATAATTATAATCAATGATGATTTTTCTTGTTAACATGATGTTTACCATGATGTGCTTTTGCATTGTGGTGTATCTTAGCATCTGCATCTATAAAATAATTTATTTAAAAAAATAAAATAAGGAAATATACAAGATAACTTACGTCGTGCTTGCTGTCCTTGAGTATTTTGTTGCTCTCCTTGATTTTCGATAGATCCTGGAATTGTTGATACGTCTGGAGTTTCTGTACTTTCCGTTATTGCGTTACATTTGCAATCATTACACAAAGTAGTTATATCAGGAGTATTTTCATTTACATTTATATCTACAACAACATAAAGTAATCATATTTGAAACGAAAAAAGTTCTTGTTAATCATTTTTACCTTCACCATCTCTAACAGAACGATGTTTTTTATTATGACTCTTCTTGTGAGAATTATGCCGTTTTGCGTTAGGAGTTTCTATTTTCTGACAAAGTAGGCAAATTTTATCGCAAATGGGTTCTGTCCGTTTTGAAGATGCAACATGAGGAGTTTCACCATGATTAAGTTGGTGACGGTTTTTAGTATGGCTATTTGTAGCTTAAATTAAAATAAGATGCTATATTTATTTTTTATTAAATATTGTTTTAGTTACCTGAGAAAGCTTCACACGCTACTATTAAAGAAATAGCAAAGATAATTAGTTTCATCTTGTTTGGGTGAGTTGGTTTTCTCGTAGTTTGGTTTAAAAAGCTTGAATTGAACTGCTTTCATTAAACAAACACATGTGTTTAAATACTTAACGATAATTTAAACAAACGGCTTTTAAAATATTTTGGAAAATTCTTATGTATTTTGAGTCATAGAGTTTTTTTTTGTTGCTAAGTTGTGCAATGTTGTCTAAATAATAGTTGCAGTAATGTTTGAGGAAATTAGAGTCATGGTAAAAAAATTGTATCAATAATGAGTTTTTAGAATTTTTTAAAAAATTGCTTATTACAAAACAATTATAATTTAGCCAACAATTATTTTCATGAATTACAAATGACTCTAAGGCAGAAAAGTTGTTCATATATTTCGGTACAGATTTCTAAGAAATTTTTGATTGACGTTGTAGATATTATTTTGGATAACATTTTAATTGACAATGATTTACAAATCCCATAAAGATAAGAATAAAAATATTTTTATAACATGTAATTTAATTTATTGATAAGGAATTTTTTTCCAGAGTATTTTTTTTAAATATTTCTAAACATCTATTATACAATTCTTATCAACGTTTTGTAACTAATTAAGTTAAAATCATTGCATGACAGCAACAAAAACAATTATGACTCAGAATGTTTAGGAATCCTTAAAATATTTGTTCCTTTAATTTTAGTCGTATGTACTTAAAGACGTTAACTTGCTTAAAGTAGCTAGTTAATTTCCAAGTTTTAAAGCAAGTATTATTACAAGACATAATCTAATAAAGAAAATCACACCAAGATGAAAGTTTGTGTCATTTTTGTTATTGCTTTAATCATAACTTGTGAAGCTTTATCAGGTAAATTAAATAATACTTTAATTTATTTTTGATTTTTACCTAATAGTTCTTATAAATGAAAAGTTTCTCGTCAACATACCAAGAAATATCAAAATCAAGTTAGAGATGGTGGAAATGAAACAACAATTGATGAATCAACATGTAAATTAATTTGTGAACAAATTTGCCTTAATAAGAAATCTGACGAAAAACGTCATAATAGAAAACATCGTTCTGTTCGAGATAGTACTAGTGGTAATAATTTATAAAAAAAATTATTTCTTGGTTATTTCATCAACTTCTCCTTATAGATTCGATGGATGTATGTGCTATGTGCAAATGTGGTACTCTAACTCCTGTTTTATCATATCAAACCGGAGAACCCCAAAATCAAAGTGCGTAACTTTTTTTGGTAGTTTTATTTATTAATATTTTTTTAAATATATTTTAGGTGGCAAAAAGAGGCATAATGTACGAGCACATCATGTTTCAAAGAAGACTCTCCACCAATAAAAATGACCTTTTTATAAGATGATTAATTAAATTGTGATATCTATTATAAAAAAGTAGTTGATATGCTTTGAAATGCTTTAATTGAATAGTATTAAACAATTTTTGTTTACGATTCTATTGTATTAAATAAATAACATTCATAAATACATAAACTTTTATTAAGGGAGAAATTTTGATGTCATCCTCCTTTGTTAGGCAGTTATTAGTCAATAGAGTGTCGGTTGTAGATTAGATGACGGTTAGATGAATCAGCAAATTAAGATCATCAACGTCCAATAAGTAACAATAGATGATTTGACGACACAATCAACACAAAATAGAGTTGAGAAGGTCTAGAAAAGACAGTCGCAGAAACACCATAAACGAAGCAAAGGAGATTTTGGGAAAACAACAGCTAGATCAAATATGTACCGATGTTGTTGTTTTTTAACTTGATTGAAATAAAAGATATGTTATAACAAGTAAGTATCACATTTGTATTGATGTTATTCATGTCCAAATTTGGTTATATTCGGCAAACATAACTGTTCGAACTTATTAGACTTTAATTCTATTTTTCTCTTTTGATATAATATATCAATATATTATATCAGATAATATAAAAAAGAAGTTTGTCCTAGGCTTAGGTATAGTACTTTTTTTATCTACACCTCTATGTTTGAATAAACCGCATATTCCGCCAGTAACTTCCTTTGAGACATATTTGTCTCATCCCCATCAATAGTAAAAAGATAAGAGTTTCTCCTTTGAACATATCATGACAAGAAACATGATAAAAGAAGCTTGGGAACCCAGTACGTCAAAGAAAATATAAATCTCTATCCTTTTCTGAAAGTGTATTTATTCTGATGCTTGATAGACTGATGCAGAGAAACCAAAAAGATACCAGAGAACCAGCTACCAATTTGTGTTCGCTTTCTGAAAGGTCCTAACTGACAAAATATTAATTTAGGTCCGAAAGTCTATCTGTTGTCCAAAACCACAACTAAAACCATATTACTAAGCAGTACGGCCCAACGGAGTGCGACAAATTTGTCAAAATAGTCTTATCTGACAGGACAGATAGATGTACTTGTTCTTTGTGAAATTCTTGTGATTGATTCATAATCTCAAATTGTATCTAACGCAATTAGTTGTGCAAGTAATTTTGCAAAATAAGTATTAAATCTACTTGACTTTCTATGTAAGCACTCATTACTGTCCTGTATTACCAACTTATTATTTTTTAATTTTCTTGTGTAATTATGAACACGAACACTACGACCAGCAGTGGTCACACTCACACTAAGTTAACAACTAAAACAACGTATGTATGCTAAATCAAAAATGTCAAGAACGAAACAAGATGACTTTAACGATTCATCGTTTACAAATGAAGAATCAGATGATATATCTCATTGCCTACCTAATACGGCTAGCATGTCCAATAGCGAAGGTAAAAATGAAGATCAATCTACCCATGTATATTTCTAATAACAACCTCAGAGTATTTGATAAAGCACCTCCAGAGAGAGAAAAAAAGGTTCATCCATCACCATTGACCACGAAATAAAAACTTCATGCAACAGGAATACCTGCATAATGAAATGTTCAGAGGTAATAGACGAAATGAGACAAAAAGATACAAATAAGTCAGCTGCGTTAAAAAGATATGTAAAAAAAAGTACTCTTGCTTCCGTTTCATGCCGCAATAATACATACAACTATTTCCTAAAGAATTTTAATGGGTTGGACATGAAAGTGTGCAAAACGTTCTTTTTTGCCACCTTAATATAAAATAAAGTAGTAGTGCTATTATTCATAAAAAAGACAAGACGGGCACCGCCCAGCAGGGAATTTTGTTAACAAAAAATCTATTATACAGCATTAATACACCTCTTCTCTATCTCATCACTTCCAGCCTCCTCAGATCAGCCTCCACGTCATCCAGTCATCTTCTGCGCGGAAATCATCGACCCTCGCGTTTCTGTCGGTATGCTCTTCTTACCACTCCCTCCTCCGACATTCTCTCCATATGGCCAAGTCATCTAAGTTTGGTCTTCCTGATGCTCAGAATGACACTTTCTACAATCAGGTTGGACAACATACAGGGCAACGCATTCCCATGTCATCCATACTACTCGGATCTTATTTCCTACAATGCCGCCACCTCAGTCTTTTAGAGAGTCATTAACGTTGTCAGCTCTCCAACTCTGAAAAGGGTGTGCACATTCCATGTCGCCATCCATATTCCTAAATGATATTCCTAAAAAAAAAAACCGTCCCTTTTCCCATCTTAATCGTCTCCGTACATCAGTTCTAGTTCAGAGACTTAGTTTGGGTTTCGTAACCGGTGTATTTTTGTAGATCGTGGCACAACTCCCTAATGATCAGAGGACTATTTCCCCCGCTTTCATTCATCCTGACCATGCTTTCCATAAAGCTTGACTACCGCATTTCTAGTGGGATTGCTCAGGTTTCCAGGGTTCACCGTCTCTTCAGGCTACGTAGAGGTAAGAGTCGGAATTGGGTACGTACCCCATTTGAACTCCGATATGTCTATTGTAATGATGTATAATGTTTTTAAAGCAAAAAAATCCATGCTTTATGGGTAGTTATGAGTTGTATCGTCATGAAGTCTCAAAAATGAATATATCTTTTGACCAACTTGGGTGCGAAGTATGTTTCCAGTGTTCATCATATTATCTTTACAAAATCTTATAAAACTAAATATATCTTTGGGAGAAAGAACACAGAGTCACAAGGATAACCATTTAAATTGATAGTGTCGTCAGAAATACAAAATCTAATGTTTCTTAGAGCAGAGATGCTTTAAGATGTAATCTTTACGAAGCACATTATTGCTTTTATTCAATTGGTATCGTTTTGTTCCTGAGTCGTGTGCCGAGAAGTTTTATAGCATGAGGAATCTCGCGATGAAAAAGAGAGGATGTTGTGTCAACTTTTTATGCATTCTCTCTACAGAACAGAGACAAAGAATCTATTACCATTTGGCTTGACAATTGTTGCGGCCAAAATAAAAATTGGCAAATAAGCTGTAAATTCAGTAAACCTTCCAGAAAGAAATCCATACTCCGAGCGTAGAGATTCGTTGACCAATTTCATCATCAAGCGGAAAAATCTTTAAAACGTGTCAAAACAGAATCACATTAGGTTCCAAGAAATAATAAAAGCAACTTGCTGAATATCAATATTTCATATTTTCATCAATATTTATATTTGGTTTAAGCAAGATGGTGCATGTCCGTGGTTTGCACATCCTCATAAATTTTTTAGACAAAGATTTTTTCTAAAGGTGTTCCTAGATCTTAACTAGCAACTTATTTGCAATGTTTTGAAACAGTGAATTAAAAGAATTGATTGACTATAGTGATGGAACGGATAGTGATTTTGCAAAAAGCCGGATACCGGATATTCGGCATCCCTTTCGGCAGAATATCCGGCATATCTATCCGGCCATTATGGTTATAATTTCTGGTGCCTTTCTGAAGTAATACCCTACGTTAATAATTATTTGGATCCAAGATACAAAAAGAACTTTTTTGATGCTGATTTAACTAACGAAGCAACTCAAAAAAGAGAATACATTAATTAATAATTGGCGACATTTCCACAAGGATCCTGCAAGAAATTAATTTTATAGCGAATTTTGAAAGTTATCGATGAAAATTGCAACATCGAAAATTTTATCAAAACTTCAAATTAATGTTTTCTCAACAACTAAAAGTTATTTTTCAAAATGGGTTGGTTCATTGGAAAGAGGACACTTTTATTAACACTTTGGGAAATTTTCATACCCATATTCCCAGAACTGGAGTTTATACGAATTTTTAAAACTTAATCGGCGTAAATTGCAAAATTCGAAAAAATTATTGATCATTTCAAAAATTTATTTCTCAAGAACTGAAAGTGATTTTTCAAAACGGCTTTTTGCATTAAAAAGAGGTTACTTTAATTAATAATCGAAAGTGATAACAGCGACAGTTCTGTTAGTAATGAATGTGATGATGAATTTCAAGTGAAGAGAAGGAAACTAGACGAAACTGCAGCAAAAGATTTTATATATCGTATTGGGATTGTTACAATGAGGTTGCTAAAGACAAACCTGATATAAATAATGTTGTATTCAATGAAAAAAGTCCTATTGGGTTTGAACTTGATTGTTATCTGCAGTGTTATCTTTCAGTGCCAAAGCCACTATTTGGTAACTATCCGGTATCCGGCCAGTTTTAAAAAATGGCCCGATAGGCCGGATACCGGATAGTTGCCGGATATCCGTTCCACCACTAATTGATTATGATGCTTGTATCTCTTTGCATTTTGTACCTCCTTTCTAACAATTATTTTTACTGGTATTTTATCGAACGTGTAAAATATTCAAGGGAACTTATTTAGCCATTAACGATCTTATAACATATTTTTATAAAATTAGTGATATATCTTAATTATTTCACTATTTATAATAAAAACAACAAATTCAACGAAAATTTCGTGAATAACTCAATTTAATAATTTATGTCATCGAGGATCTAATTCCTTGTCTTATCCCTTTTCGGTGTGGGTTGGATTGTGATTGGACTCAAAAGGGCAAGGGTCTGAGACGGTTACATGTATTCCACATCTGAAGTATGCATAATTCATGCTCGGTTTTGGTCGAAATCTCAAAATTCTAGAATCCCAAAATAATTCAAAAAAAAATTAATAAAGAAAAAATTAAATAGGGTTGGTTTCAAAATTGGGCCGTCTATTTACGTACAACAAAACACAGAAAGCAACCATTCAAATCAAATAAAAAAAAAGTCTTGAATAACCTACATTCGATCTCCCCACATCTTTTATTCAATTTGTCTTTTATTATCAACCCTTTTAAAAAAGAACGTGCACCCAACCACCTGTTCGTTCTACTTTTCTTTTAGTTCTTTTTAGTTCTGTGTAAGGGTTTATGAAAAAATAAAGGCCAGAAAAGTTGTTGTAACTTGATATTAAAAGATTAAAAAAAA